TCCACTCAATGTGTGTTTCTCTTTGGGTCTGGGACACTTTTCTTGACCAAATGCTATTTTCATGTTGTAGTGTTGTTTCATTCATCTAATAGTTCAGCCAATGCCATCAAATGATACCCAAAGTAAGTGATCATGGTGCATTAGCAACTTTCACCCCAGTTTTTCGGGTGTAAGATTTCAGCAGCAAGATGAGAAAGGCAAACCAACGTTTGGTGGCGCATTTCAACATTGTGTGTGTGGGGGGGGGGGGGGGGCATCACAAAATGGAAGTGTTCCATGCAACTACCTGTAATGCAAACTTCGTATTAAACAACAGCCAGTGCTTGGTAAATGTATTCAATGCAAGTAGCGAATGTTGTAGTTAATGGGTGCAGCGGCTTGTGATGTGCTTGAAATTTACGGTTGGTCAGCTAGATAAAACATCTTTGGGATCTATGCTAAATCCTATGATGAAATAAAGGGATCATTCAGGGTACAGGGCAAACAACTTCATTATGACATTATACAATGCCTGTTCACTCAAGGCAGGATTTTAGCATTGTTACATTTGTAGGAGATGAAGCTTGGGTCAAATATTGCAATATTCTGAATGCTCCATTGTAACCCGATCCTCTGCATTATGCCCATTACACAACATCATCATATAATTTATGTCAACACAATCTCTTCGTAATAATTGCAGTATATGTTGAATGGAAAATGGCACAGAAATATAATATCAACAATCCATATTGCATTTTGATAAGAATGTACATAGCTGGGGTATGGTTCGGGGCAATCTAAGGTCCATTTGGTACTCTTATTGCCTTAAGCCTATGCTGCATATGTTTTTAACAGTGACAATAATGTGTCCTCTAAATCTATCTTAGCTGCCCATTTCACTCCAGCTCCTTGGTATGCCTTTCCTTCCCTGGGATCAATGGATGGATGTTTAAGTTGTAAACTACGGGGCTTGGTGAGGAAAATAACAAATTGGTGTCATTATGCTCAATCACCAAACATCTTTTGTGAAGTGTTTCTAATGTGAAAGTTTGTTTTAGAGTTCCGTTTTCAGTGTAGCCTGTGAAAAAAGCATGTGTGTTCTCCTTATGCCTAAAAAACCTTTCTTCAAATGCTTTAAGGGAGCATCGTGACATAGGCCATATATGTGCCAAGTATATTTTATACACATAAAGAGATATGTGTATTTCTTGTGGTAACTCACAAAACTCCTGTAATAACTCGTTTCAAATTACAACAGCTGCATCTTCAGGTTATACACGACGTGACCAGATCGTTGCACTCAACATTCATATCGCCAATCTGTGACCGTGTTCACTCTGTGCTCCATCTCAACACTGTTGAAAAGAGTTGGCGGCAACAGGATTTGATATCACGCCCGGACATCGCGGCGCATGGATGGGTCTACGCTTTGCCTAATAGTTGGGGAAGGAGTGTCACGGTGCACGCTTTTCATCCCGAAAACTGCAAGAGAAATGTTGAAACTTCATTCATATGCACTTTTTGTGCACATATGTGTTAAAGATTTAGAAAACCATGGGCCTGAAAAGGAGCACGTTAACATGGTGACCTTATGGCTAGTCGTGAAATGTGCACCGTCGCAGCCGTATTTCATACTAGACTTCAGACCTCTCCGTACTGGACATATACGACATTCTCAACAGACATGTCGATAGCTGGGAGGACAGCGCACGTAAAGAATGGTGGAATGGTCCCCCGGAGTGGCCTTTGAAAATGGCGTGGTCAACGCTCTGACGCATGTTGGAAGTTGAGATCAGTAAGAAAGGCCTTGAATCTGTGTGTTTTGTGGTGGTGAGCTGGGAGCTTTTAACGCTAAAAACAGTGCATCAGCGATGTATCAGGAGGTAGTGATGAACCATGACAAACATAAACACGACCATTGGTGTGCGCAAATTTCCTCGCAAAAGACAAGGAATGCCATCCCAATATTCCTTCACTCTGCTACAAAGTGCACAGAATTGTGCTGATCCCATTTTTTAAAACCCTTTTGTGGTACAGCCCGGTAGAAGATACACCAGGCAGCTTTATTTCAAATCATTCCGTTTTACATTGTACTTGTTCACTGGGTTCTTGTACCGTCATTGGGCCGTCTCGACAGATCAGCTGGTTGGACTGCCTGGCCATGGATTCTCTGGCCTGTGGCATGGTGGGTTCGAGTCGCTTTAGGCATTCACTTTTTTGGCATTTTGGCAAAGGCATTTGTTCGCGACTGAAATAGGCTGCAGCCGGAGGCGGCGGTCCGGGAACAGCCAGGTATCATCGGAGGCCGGGATGGATCATGCCGAGCATTGTGACACGTTAAAACATCGCCGCGTAGTCCTGCCGTTGACCCGAAACTTCACGATCACATTAGGATTTTTCCAACAAGTGTGGTTTATCATTCCAAAAAAACATTCATCTGACTAATGTTTAAAAACTCGTGGTCGTCTGGATCATGGAGCACAACGATTCGGCATTATATATGACCTCTCAGAAATCAGTCGTTTTATCACAAGCGGGGGAGTGATGCGACCATCTTCTGATCTCCAGTCCGGCGAACGAAGACTTGCTAAATAATCTTTTCTTTCCTACCAGAGCGGATACACGGAACACTATCTGAGGTCTCCCGATGTGGCCGCAACGAATGGGGTCAAAAATACATCCAGTTTGTATAGTAGCCGTAGCAATACGAAATATATGTCTATGTGAAGCTACCATTTGTACAAGATGACCCAGATAAAAGTTAAACCACGTTTTGTTGAACAGCAACATCCTTTTTCTTCGCACAATCAAGACTGTCAGGCATTCAGACGACTGCCAATGACCATTTGATGCCAAGATGTGATCACAGACAATGGTAGCGGTCAGTGATTTCAAAAACAAAATGAAATCGATCAGGGATTTCACCTTCGTGAAGTCATGACTGTACAGAATGTGCCTCTTTGAGGACAATAACGACTATCTTGCCAACACCACCTCAGAGCGCTGCATCGCTCCCTCTGATACCCTTCTGGGCGGACCTGGGCGACTTTACGGGATCGCTCGGGACGAGGGCTCGTCCCACCTGTCGCCCCTAGACTTCGTGTAGAGGGGCAACATCACAAACCACGTTCACGAGAGCACACCACAGCACACCAGCACACCAGTGCACACCATCAGAAGCTTACGGGCATCTTTAGACCTACGATGGGGCGTGACAGCTTGGGCAATCGACCGGACAATCGGCCACCTGCAGCCAGCAGGCTCAGCTGTTGTGCATACTAGACCGGGCAATCGGCCACCTGCAGCAGGCTCAGCTGTTGCGCATGCTAGACCGGACAATCGGCCACCTGCAGCAGGCTCAGCTGTTGTGCATGCTGGACCGGACAATCGGCCACCTGCAGCAGGCTCAGCTGTTGTGCATGCTAGACCGGACAATCGGCCACCTGCAGCAGGCTCAGCTGTTGTGCATGCTAGACCGGACAATCGGCCACCTGCAACAGGCTCAGCTGTTGCGCATGCTAGACCGGACAATCGGCCACCTGCAGCAGCTCAGCTGTTGTGCATACTAGACCGGACAATCGGCCACCTGCAGCAGCTCAGCTGTTGTGCATACTAGACCGGACAATCGGCCACCTGCAGCAGGCTCAGCTGTTGTGCATACTGGACCGCAGAGGGTCCATCTGAAGCACCTCTCGGCATGCATTGACGGGCTTTGAATCACTCGTGACTACTGTCGCTGCTGATTGTGTTTTGTCATGCGGTTGGCAGTCGAATATCACCAGTCGCGACTGTGAGACAACTACACTTGCCGCTGTTGAGAGAGACGTTGCATAACTCTCATCTGGGCCACACAGTACTTCTATAGATGTCGTATATTGAAGTCAAGAGTTCTTCATATCATTCTAGGCGCTATCATACGGAAACCTTGTCAAACACTTCCAAACTGACATAGCATGTGAATGAGGTGGCATAACATAAACATAACTTACCTACAGGATATTAGTTGGTTCAAAATGTGAATAGCGCTAGCAATAATATGTCCAGGTGCCTAGCACATGAATAGTAATACAAATGTGTGCATTTTTGGTCATTTGGTCGAGTATCCCTCTCTGCTCACGTGCATTCAGGGGCTCAGAGCATTATTTAAGGGGAAAGGTGAAGTCAGCATTAAGGATGGGGCTCAGTTCGGTGGCGCGGGGGGTAGGGTGTCGGTGGTCAGCCCCTCCGAGGAAATATAAAATGGCACCCCTGCTGCATGCGATCCTATTGTATGCTATATAAAACCACACTGTAGTTGCATCAATTGCGTCATCATCAATTACAATTGCAATAGGGTTCCTACCAGTCTTCAGGTGCACGAGTCCCGCCCGTTTGCGTTGGGGGGGGGGGGGGGGGAGATGTACCAACTAAATGCTGCGTTTATGTTGCTTCCTACACCCCCAAACCAAGAAGAGGCAAGTCACGGCCCAATCTCATCGCTAATAATCAGGATCAAAGTTTTTTAAATGGTCCCTCGTGCGCTCTGCATGGCTCCTGGGCTTAAGTACGCCAGGTCAGACGCAAGCCCATGACGTTGTATAATTAAAACAACTGCGGTCTTATTCTTCTAAAGTTACCCTAAATCCTACTGCGAACACAGCTCTTGTAGTGTGACTTAGTTTGTACTCTGGATGACCTGTGACTGACGCAAGTGTGCAGGCTTCAGCCTTGATGCAATTTCGCAAAGCAAAGGTCTATAGCTGCTGGCACTGTATTGCTGCTGTCACCAACAAATAACACCTACACATAGGATAGCACACATTTATACAGGGTTACGTAAACCAAAGACGAAGTACACGCAGATAACAGATAACTACCTCGATACAGACGTTGCGAATGCGTGGGTCCGAGAAACCAATCTGGCGGAATCAGTGGTAGCTGCCATAACCACGGCCAGCGTAGCCATGACCGCCAACACGTCCGCTCCAAAGAGAGCCAACGCCTCCAGCGCCATAACCATAACCTCCGTAACCACCCACGGAGCCAGACCTGAAGCCGCCTCCATAGCTGTTGACGGGGGTCTGCGGGTGTTTGGCCACGCCGTAGTACTTGACGTCAGCGTTGTAGCCCGAGTCGCCGTCCACCCAGTAGGTGACCTGTTGTCTTCGGCCGTCGGGCAGCTGGGCAGAGTAGGAACCCTCGGTCTGTTGACCATGTCGGTTCTCCTGGGAATCGATGTCCACACCGGAGTAGCCGTCCTTGATGGAGTAAGCGGTGTTGTAGTCGGGCACGGCGTAGTAGTCGACGGAGCCACCCCGTCCGTAGCCGCCTCCGACGCCTCCTCCAAAACCACGTCCTAGGCGACCTCCGAGGCCCCCTCCATAGGATCTCCCGGCCGAAGCGGCAACCACGAGTGCCGAGAAAATAATCAGCTGAAAACACGAGTCCAGCATGAAGGCGATGGAAACACGATCTGCCATTTTTACATTGCGGGGGAAAAGCAGTGTGCTAGCTGAAAAATTTAGCCAGCTGCAAATGGCGTTGCTGTAGAAGTTATGAGTCCAGCTCTCGAAACATAAGACAAGACAGATACATTCGGAATTACGCTGATGGTTAGGCTTTGCATTCAAACATTTACTGAATTCGCGACCGCATGACGGTCCGCATGATTTATGACGCCTGCTCAGTTTTATCAAATGTCTGCTTAGCTATAGCTTTAGCCAGCGCGGATATTAGAAAATATCTCTTTGTGAAGCAAAAGTAAGCTCATGGCAGCATATCAGTTAGTCATTGTGAAGGATGACGCGCCTATTTATGCACTTTTTGCGCTTGCATTTGTAACAAAAATTACACGGTCGTATTCAGAAATAGGCAATGAGAAAAACAACTTGCGAAACAAGAGAAAAGAAACCCTCCATTAATGCTTACAGTAACGAAAAGAAAAGAAGCCCTCCGAAAAGGCTCACAGTTAACTGCACTACATTAAACAGATTTTGATATAAGTCAACACCACTGACTTCCTAACGTTACCCGCGTTAAGCGCATACGGTAGGGTTGTGATGCTCCCACCATGCAACCCAACCTTCATGTCTGCAGATGCTGGTCAGCGGTAAGAAACTGATGCTGCTCTCCCTTCGTCCGCATTCTTTTATACTGCAGCTTGACGCCGCCCCGCCCGTGGGCTGGCTGGACTCGCCTTGCATGACGCGTGGTGCCTGAGTGTGTGCGTGCAGGATCGCGCGTGAGTGCGTGATCAGCACACATGTTGCGTGGTGCGTGGTCAACCGCGTGGTCGGCAAGCATCAAGCGGGGCGCCGAGGTCAGATCCCAGCTCCGCGGGCAAGGTGTCAGGCTAGGAGAGGTGACAAGGTGTCAGGGTAGCAAGGAGCTGGTGACGAGCTAGGAGAGGTGACAAGGTGTCAGGATAGTAAGGAGCTAGTGACGAGCTAGGAGAGGTGACAAGGTGTCAGGATAGTAAGGAGCTAGTGACGGGCTAGGAGAGGTGACAAGGTGTCAGGGAAGTAAGGAGCTAGTGACGGGCTAGGAGAGGTGACAAGGTGTCAGGGAAGTAAGGAGCTAGTGACGGGCTAGGAGAGGTGACAAGGTGTCAGGATAGTAAGGAGCTAGTGACGAGCTAGGAGAGGTGACAAGGTGTCAGGGAAGTAAGGAGCTACTGACGAGCTAGGAGAGGTGACAAGGTGTCAGGGAAGTAAGGAGCTAGTGACGAGCTAGGAGAGGTGACAAGGTGTCAGGGAAGTAAGGAGCTAGTGACGAGCTAGGAGAGGTGACAAGGTGTCAGGATAGTAAGGAGCTAGTGACGGGCTAGGAGAGGTGACAAGGTGTCAGGATAGTAAGGAGCTAGTGACGAGCTAGGAGAGGTGGCAAGGTGTCAGGATAGTAAGGAACTAGTGACGAGCTAGGAGAGGTGACAAGGTGTCAGGGAAGTAAGGAGCTAGTGACGAGCTAGGAGAGGTGACAAGGTGTCGGGCTTGGTGCGGCTGAACGGGGGTTGTCTGAAATGAAAACCAGGTATGGGATAGATCCAGTGACGTTATGATGAATGCCAAATGGGAAAGAATGTTCAGTGAACGTTAATGAAGGTCGCTATCATTCAAACATCTTTCATTTATTTTATGTTTTTGCTAAAAAAAAGGCCTCTGTTGAAAGCCTTGCAAACACAGCCGATGACTGCTCGATAACGTCGTTTAACCCTGAGCTACCAGGTGGCTACAAGAGCATCTCAATTTTTCCAGTGGCGCTTCAATCTCCAAACGACTTTTTTACCGTACTGAAAATTTGGATGCCTGAGTTACCATCATTTTTGCATCTGTGATGAGAATGTTACATTTTTCATCTGGATAATTCATGATCTGTGACGTATTCTATAAAAAAGTCATGTCGGGGACATTTTGCTAAACAGTAAGGTGCCGGTGGTGTAGAGGTTAACGCGTCTGCGTTAACCACTACACTCCACGGTGCTCGCCCTTCCTGCCAGAGTGAGAGGCAGGTGACGCCATGCAGCTTCAGTAGCTGGGTGCGTCGAAGAGCCCAATAGCATGGCTTACTTAACAATAGCAACAAGCGATTATTTCTCGAAGATTCCTATGTATGCCACTTTTGAGCGCATTAATACTGTTCTAATTGGTTTCAAAAAGTTAACGATATCTCAGGTCAACGTAGATTAAACATGGACAGTGGCGACCAGATATGGACCTTTGCAGGTCATACGGATCAACCTCAATGCCACATATTTTAAAGCTTCGGACGACTTTTTAGCCCCACATTTTTTTTTTAACTTGAATTGATTAGACTTTATGTACCCAACCTGACCTGACATGATCTGAGATGAAATTAAATGAACTGTACTGGCATGACATATGCTAGATCGCATTTGCTTCTGTTAATTAGTGCTTACCTGACATAGTTTTCCAAGAGCTATTCAACATCGTCTTTCACCTTATCTCAGCATGCTTATTATTCGAGGAAACAGGAGGGCCCATAAAGTGTTAATTTTACAACTTTGACCTGATTTGATCTGTAAAATGCCTCCGCCGCCATTGGTCAGCCACATCTATCTAATGCATATTGATAAGACCTTTCTAATTTCGGTTTTCTTATTGCTCTAGCTTTCTGAGTTTTGAGATATTATTATTAGAGGCATTTATTATTGTTTGAGGCCTTGATGTCCTCGCTTTCTCGTAAGGCGAGGGTGACAAATCGTTTGTAGTGCGAGGGCCTCTGAAACCAGTGTATGAGTCGATGATTATGGCCAGCATAAGACCTTCAAACTGATGCCGAAAAAACAGGAGCTCAGGGCCTTCTTGCTTATATGAATGGGTGAGGGAGACTGAGTTCAGGACGAAGGAAACTGACAGCCGCCAAATATTGGTATGTTCCTGAAGCAGCCCATTCAGATCTGTCATCTAAACACCAATGCTAACATAAGGGGAAGACAAGTAAGAGAGCTTCCCCTGAATCTCATTGCCTGCCTTCATTGACCTGACAAGCTTTCTGGATCGACACCAGCCAGCTGACCAGAAGACACCAAGATCTACACCAGCCATCTGATCAGAAGGCACCAGATCGACACCAGCCAGCTGATCAGAAGACACCAAGATCTACACCAGCCAGCTGATCAGAAGGACACCAAGATCTACACCAGCCAGCTGATCAGAAGACACCAAGATCTACACCAGCCAGCTGATCAGAAGGACACCAAGATCGACACCAGCCAGCTGATCAGAAGACACCAAGATCTACACCCAGCCATCTGATCAGAAGACACCAAGATCGACACCAGCCAGCTGATCAGAAGACACCAAGATCGACACCAGCCAGCTGATCAGAAGACACCAAGATCGACACCAGCCAGCTGATCAGAGACACCAAGATCTACACCAGCCAGCTGATCAGAAGACACCAAGATCTACACCAGCCAGCTGATCAGAAGACACCAAGATCTACACCAGCCAGCTGATCAGAAGACACCAAGATCTACACCAGCCATCTGATCAGAAGGCACCAAGATCGACACCAGCCAGCTGATCAGAAGACACCAAGATCTACACCAGCCAGCTGATCAGAAGGACACCAAGATCGACACCAGCCAGCTGATCAGAAGACACCAAGATCTACACCAGCCAGCTGATCAGAAGACACCAAGATCTACACCAGCCAGCTGATCAGAAGACACCAAGATCTACACCAGCCAGCTGATCAGAAGACACCAAGATCTACACCAGCCAGCTGATCAGAAGACACCAAGATCTACACCAGCCAGCTGATCAGAAGACACCAAGATCTACACCAGCCAGCTGATCAGAAGACACCAAGATCTACACCAGCCAGCTGATCAGAAGACACCAAGATCTACACCAGCCAGCTGATCAGAAGACACCAAGATCTACACCAGCCAGCTGATCAGAAGACACCAAGATCTACACCAGCCAGCTGATCAGAAGACACCAAGATCTACACCAGCCAGCTGATCAGAAGACACCAAGATCTACACCAGCCAGCTGATCAGAAGACACCAGATCTACACCAGCCAGCTGATCAGAAGACACCAAGATCTACACCAGCCAGCTGATCAGAAGACACCAAGATCTACACCAGCCAGCTGATCAGAAGACACCAAGATCTACACCAGCCAGCTGATCAGAAGACACCAAGATCGACACCAGCCAGCTGATCAGAAGACACCAAGATCTACACCAGCCAGCTGATCAGAAGCACCAAGATCTACACCAGCCAGCTGATCAGAAGACACCAAGATCTACACCAGCCAGCTGATCAGAAGCACCAAGATCGACACCAGCCAGCTGATCAGAAGACACCAAGATCTACACCAGCCAGCTGATCAGAAGCACCAAGATCGACACCAGCCAGCTGATCAGAAGACACCAAGATCTACACCAGCCAGCTGATCAGAAGCACCAAGATCGACACCAGCCAGCTGATCAGAAGACACCAAGATCTACACCAGCCAGCTGATCAGAAGACACCAAGATCTACACCAGCCAGCTGATCAGAAGACACCAAGATCTACACCAGCCAGCTGATCAGAAGACACCAAGATCTACACCAGCCAGCTGATCAGAAGACACCAAGATCTACACCAGCCAGCTGATCAGAAGACACCAAGATCTACACCAGCCAGCTGATCAGAAGGCACCAAGATCTACACCAGCCAGCCAGGATCTACACCAGCCAGCTGATCAGAAGACACCAAGATCTACACCAGCCAGCTGATCAGAAGCACCAAGATCTACACCAGCCAGCTGATCAGAAGACACCAAGATCTACACCAGCCAGCTGATCAGAAGCACCAAGATCTACACCAGCCAGCTGATCAGAAGCACCAAGATCTACACCAGCCAGCTGATCAGAAGACACCAAGATCTACACCAGCCAGCTGATCAGAAGCACCAAGATCTACACCAGCCAGCTGATCAGAAGACACCAAGATCTACACCAGCCAGCTGATCAGAAGACACCAAGATCTACACCAGCCAGCTGATCAGAAGACACCAAGATCTACACCAGCCAGCTGATCAGAAGACACCAAGATCTACACCAGCCAGCTGATCAGAAGACACCAAGATCTACACCAGCCAGCTGATCAGAAGCACCAAGATCTACACCAGCCAGCTGATCAGAAGACACCAAGATCTACACCAGCCAGCTGATCAGAAGACACCAAGATCTACACCAGCCAGCTGATCAGAAGACACCAAGTTTCAGGACTCCACCTGGGACCGTTCAGAAGATGCGGCTGCGCTGGCTACGAGCGCCCCCCACGGTCATGGGAGATCAAGGCGATTGTATGTGGTTCATTCTATAGCAGGTACCGCTTCTTGCCAGTTTATTGTAGATCAAAGCTTAATGGGAAGAATAATATTTTTTTGTCTTCTGTCAGGCTTACAATCAGACTTCTTTGCCTTCCCATGCGGTGGAATTTGCTTGGAACTCCTCACGTACACCCCCCCCCCCCCCCCCTCCCGATTCTCACGGGAAGGGTCTAACACAAAGCATGGTTTTTTTTTAATGTTTTCTCCACTCAAAGCGACACTTTCAACAAATGAGCGGTGCACTCAAAGGGACAAAGTGGAGAAAATAAATTTTTAGCTTTATAGATTGAGTAGCCTTGGCGTCAGGCTAATAAGCTGTTGAGATATCCAGCGTCATTTACGATTTCAGTGTCGCATCTGCCGTGTGCAAAGACACGTGCGAACATTATTGGACTAGTTGCGGATGCAGCATCTAGAAAATGTTGTTTATAAAATACATGGCCTTGTGCAAACCATTACAGTGCAGACGATATCGCTCGCTTCCATACCACATAAAGTAATGTTTCTATCCGTCTGTCTCCGGTACCCCCTCCCACGGATCCATGTTGGATGAAAGATGTGTTAATTTTCATGAGGAAAATGCACGTTTTGTATCAGGCTAGGCTGCGTAGAAATCATACCCCTTTCTCTTGCCATATATATATATATATATATATATATATATATATATATATATATATATATATATATATATATATATATATATATGTGTGTGTGTGTGTGTGTGTGTGTATAGCAGGAACTCGCGTGACGAATATTTGTACCACCGCAAAGGAATCATAATTGTCTCCAATGCGCGGGAATGTCTGGAGGTTCGAAAGCAGACCAAGCAGCCGGAATCAGCTGTTCTTTGGTCGGATGAGGCACATAACGGATTTCCCGATTCACAGCGGTGAAGCAGTCGTGTGTAAGTGACCATCGACCTCCTATTAAGCGAAGAGAGAGAAATTGTTTGCTAGCGTAGTATAGATTAAATTACAAGTATACATCTCCGCGAAATTGTTTGATACCAAATGTAAGTACCTTGGCTCAAAAGAAGTAAGGTGGGGCATGGTCCCAGTGCTCCCCCATTTTGACCATGTTTCTGCTCCCATCCAATCATAAGGTGTTTGAAGCCCCAAACTGGGCCGAGGCTCGTTAAACGTCCCACGTGCATCATGTTAGTGTTACGGCTCTGTAGATCTTGAAACTCTCGCGTCGTTCAAAGACCCGGCCGTTTGCTTAAATTCATCAAAGTGCACTACGCCGAGTGTACTTGGCGTCCTGGTCACAGCGTTGGCCACCATGTGCAGCTGTAGCACGCACCAGCGCCTCTGGCTATGTGAGCTGGACTTTCCCCGGCAGCGGGACCGCCCGGCGCGGCGATAGCATCAGCAGCCGCGCGGCTCCGCGCTGGCGCATGGTACACGTCCGCCCTGCGCTTCAGCCGGGCCGGAACACATAGCTCCGCTGGGGCACCGCCGGACGTGGCTCTTCAATGAGACCACAGGGCTGGCCAGTTTCCGCACCGCGCTCCGCCGCATGGAACCGGCTGCCCGAGTCGGCCGACCCTGGCCCCCCCCCCGTGCCGCACGTACTTAACTGTTTTAAAACGCTGGTTCATTTTTATTTAAGGCTCTATCAAATCGCTACTCGACTATCTTAAACTAAGAACGTAATACAAAGAAAGCGATACAGGCAGGACCCTTGCTATCATTGTGAGCACGTTAGCGCATAATTTGTGTGATTTCAGCGCGTGCTGCTGGTGTACGGCTCCCTAGATGTAACACTGCCGGGGCCGCTCTTGCTCGGCAGATTCGCCGAATGGGAGCCACCGTCCTCGCCGGCAGTTGATTGCCAGGCGGCGTTCTTAAAAGCCCTTAAAAGTAAAACAAGTGCAAGGACTGATCCAAGAGTGTCAACCAGGCCATGCCCCCGCTCCCTCGCAAAATGATAAAGGGTATTCCTATCTAATTTCATTTATTTTAGTTAATGCGCTTCAACGTGGTGGATGTTCTTCACATAGAAACACACAGCACACATAAAAATACACGCCTACGTACAGCTAAAGGCAGTTTCGGTCATCGAGTCAG